AATTGATATGCTACCACAACACATCCTTGCTGCAAAATTTCTTTAAATAGAGTACCACAAAAAATGGTTCTCAAAGTAAAAAAATGGATTTTAAATCCTAATCTTTCAAAATTGCATTAATGTATTTCCAGTCACTATTTTTTTTTTTTTTGGCAAACAAACGCCCTATCTATAAGGATAACCATTGACCTAATTGAACACTTGCACTTCTGATAGTCATGATTCTCTAAGATGACTTAGATTTTGCATTTATGTATTTCCATAGAAGTTCTCTCTCTCTCAGCCATTCTCTTTTTTTGACACAAGAACATGAAAGCAGTTTCTAACAGCTGCTTTTCAAGCTGGTCTTCAACAGGGAGAGAGACTTGGTTCAAACACCAGGATCAGGTGCACAAGATCATAATACAGCCAGTAAATAAAGCCTCTATAAAGAGTGTCGAAGTGCTCACCACCTGGGTCAGGCAGTTGGAGTGGAATCAATGTTAGATATAAGTAAATGAGAAGGCAGGAGAGGAGAATTGTGAGCTCTAAGCAAAGAAACCTATAATGCACTTCTTATAAAGCACTGTAAATTTCACATTTATTTTGTAAGTATGAGATAGATGGGTTATTTCTACATACAGAGGTGCCCAACTAAAATCAAGATAAGTGATATTAATGTCCTATGGTCAGTATTATTGAACCTCGAAAGCAATAAACTATGAGTCGATAAATATTACATTTGCAACATAGTTAACATTCTTCTACTGTCTCTGGCACTTATTACACATTGTAACCGCAAGTCTACAATACATTATTCATATTTGGGGTGTCACTGAGTGATGGATTGCTGTAAGAGAGGCTGTCCTTTAAATAAATCAACAAATAAAAATGCAAATGTTAACATTTTCAGCCACAACTTTTTCCATCTTGAATGGGGAATGAAAATTTCACATTATATCGACAGGCAGCAGAGAGAACAATTAACAACCTACACTGTGAATAAGGGAGATTAATTTGCAAACGTCTCGTTTTATCACTTGCATAAGAAACTATATTGGACTTTTTTGTACCGCTAGCTCTCCTAGGGAATTGAAAAAGCTGTGTCTCCCATCATATTCATCACCTAACTTACCACTCCCCTGAAACGTAATTCTTTAAAATGCTCAAAAGTAAAGTCTGGAATGAAAGTTCTCTCCTCTTCTTTCTCCTTTTGAATACTGAAACACATCTGATGGAAGGGGAAACGATCTCGTTCTTTAGAAGTGCTTGTTTAGATTCTACAGGAGAAAGAACTTCAGGGTCTCATCTGAAAAGCAGAATCCTACATCTAAGCATCCAACACACAGACCTGGAAGGCAATTCCTGCACRAGCAAGACAAAAGCTTAAATCTCATCACTGTCGTATTTCCTAAATACTCAGCACAACAGATGTTCCCTACACTACTCCAATGTGCATTATTAAGCACACAGCTCTGCACATTATATTTTATATCAGATATTAATTTGCTTAAAAGTCCCTAAATAAACATTCACCTGAGATGCGCTGGGCAATTGGGTAAATAGTTCTGTTTTTAAAATGTCCCTAAACACAAATTTAGACAATACAATCTGTTTATAAGAACTCCAAGAGGCCACTGTGCTCTAACAGATAATAATACAGCTAGAATACGGTACTTATATTGCAGGAACTTTTAAATCACTTATTTTAATGGCTATAACAAACTTCAAGCCAATGCATTCAGCGAGCATTAAGCTATGATTTAACACCACGACAAGGAAAAACAGCCTTAATGCCGAAATCAGGCTATCACTCAATCCCCTAATTTACCTAACTGTTCTTAAATTCACGTCTTAGATACCCAAAGCAAAAAATGCTACAGGAGAATTATCTGTTTCCATAGTAAGCAGAGCAACTTCTGCCTATGTCTTCCAAGAGCTCCATTATCTGCGGCATTACAGGAGCGGCTCTGCCAAATTCGATGGTTTCTGGGGAGGAGAGGCTGACAATTGCACTGAGGCTGTAATCAAATTAAATGGTCTTTCACAMGGGAACAATTTACTTTTTTTAAACTTTTTTTTTTTTTTTTTTAAAAAAGAAACAATGGCTCAGCATTTTCATTTAAAATAGCTTCACTATTTTGCAACACACTAGCTGTTTTGCTGAAATCAGTGCTTGATTATAGCTGAGGTAAGATGCAGTTTCCATTAAAAATTCTTCATTTCTAAATGAAAGTATRTAAATGTCACTACCTCCCCTTCCAAGCTTCCCTGCAACACACAGGCAAAAAAGTGTCTTGCTTCTAGGCAAACAGCAGGTGCAAAAAGGACATCCCTGGTCACCCTAAAGGTGATGGTTAAGGCTGTCAGACAGATCTCTGCTTCCAAATTTGCCCAGCTCCAATATCGCCTTTGATTTTTTTCCCCAAATATATTGGCTTTGGTTTAGATCAATAAGTACACGGAACAGAAAAGCTTTCCAGATCTGCTGTGAACATAATTTCAAGGSCCTCGTGCAGGTGTAGGCACTTGGCTTAATAACATTCTACAGCCAAACATGCAAGGCTTAGCTGTATTATGCAAAGCAGCAATAGGCATGAAGAAAAGCACGACAGGCAAACAAATTAACTATTAGCCTAACCTCCGTACACCAGATAACAAAATACTACTTTTCGTTTAAAAATATCAATAAACTCCCCTGTGAGTCACTGTTCCCAGTGCCACACGCTTGGTCCTTGTGCGGTTCTCACACTGCAAATCTCCAAACACCCATCCCGACCCCTAGGGACACATTTCTTGTCCCAGAGACTCTTCATTCAACGATAAAGAAGAAAATAGCATCGTCGGCGGGTGGGAGGCAGCTTTAATGCACCCTGGAGCCTCCATTTGAGGCCTGCCAAGAAGGGCTATCGAGCCAACACCTCTTTACCTGCCCTGCCTGCCGCAGGAGCGGAGAGGGGCCTCTACCACCTTGCGCTGGCAGGAACCTTCTGTCACCTCCAACACCTTCTCCYTGGCAGCCTTTCCATCGCTACTCCAGGGCGCCAGGGTTTGCGGTAGTTGAAGCTGGCACAGGCACGAGTTGAATCTCGTCYTCTAAATTTAAATAGTCAAAAGTAATTATATTTACATGTGCTGCCGAATAAATAAATTTGCTCTTAGGCTAAGGCTTCGTGCTGCAAGTCTCATGCCAACTGTCGTGGTTAAGCTGTTAACCCTCCCCAAATTGTGGATTACAGCGAACATGCTGACAAACCCTTAACTTCAGTGGCACAAAAGCAGCAATAATTCTCAATATTGATTAATTTAGTTAGTTAAACCTGCAGTCTAAGCTTATAACCATTCAGTGATAAATTGAGACTGACCTGCTGCTCAAGCAGGTTTTGTGATGAAGGATGGAATCAGCTTTAGGTCTCTGCAGAACTACTTGCCCATTTACCATTTGCAATTAGGGAAGGCCATGAGTAAGGGAAAGCACAACATGGCTGCTTACACTGGTCAATCACACTTAGAGCACCAAGGGCAGGAACGCGAGGCACGAGCACAGGATAGATCACCCTAGAAATATGGCCTTTCTCAACATTTGTCATCAACTGGGATAATAAACCTTCCGAGATGACAGCTAATCGGACTGCTTTTACTGATCACTTTATCTGATACGACTTCTAACAGCATATTTCAACAATTATTTTACTCCTCTCTCTGGAAAAGAATGGACCATCGATCCTCTTGAATAAAATTCCTTATTTTTTTTTTTCCGAGCTGTTGTTGTATGATGTGAATAATTATCTTATATCTATTCCTCAGTGCTTGAATGGAATCTCAACTTATCACTATTAGACGGTATCAGACAATCTCTTATTCACACTCTTTATCTGATATCACTGACTTCCAAAGGTAACTCTTGCTTCCAAAAGAAATGTTCCGACAATCCTGCAGCTTGTTTGTTTAAATGCACAGTTACTCGTGGGAAATAGAGCCCAATCCAGCCCAGTTCTTCAATCCTCACAGAATTATCATCCTTTCCCTCAKAAGAAAAACAAAGTGTTTTCATAGCAAGTAAAAAATTGTCCATATTGATAGTGGTTTTCACCTACTATGCACTGCAAGTTCCCTCAGAAGACAGAAATAAAACTGCTGCCAAGAGCACAGGGATGCTATCAAGCATATATTTTCCTAGTCCACTGGGCCAAGAAAAGATTCAATCTAACCCAAGCCCTCTCATTCTCCAAGAAACATTTAACTCTTCTCATAAACTGTCATATGTTCTAGCCATCCCGCTGCACAAAGTCATCTAACTAATGGTGTAAAATACAGTGAATTCATATTTTAATCTGCATTTATTCTGTTGGCTTAACTAAAGATTTTATTACTAGAAAATGTGAGCAATGATAAAGAAAAGCAAGGACTGCACATCGCTTTTTACTAGAATTGTAATCATGTGCAAAGGAGGAGAAGTTGTTTTTTAGACTGGTAAGTGGAAAAACAATGTTGCTTTCTGTTTCCTCACTGGAGCTGAAGTGATAATGCTGCTTTTCCAGTGCATTTAGTGCAGATATATAGTGTAATTGGGAACTGCTSACTTAATGTGATTTTGTTGCTTGTCATTAAACATAAAATAACATTGGTACAAAACATTTAAAAAAGAAATGCCACTTGATAAAATATGGGGGAAGATACAGGAGGATTAAAATCTTCAAGGGRATTTAAAATGTAACAGGGGGTAACATCATCCATTCAAATTATTTACAAATGCATTTAATGTGTCATGACTGAGAACATAAAATACTTCTGTTCAAAATCTAAGTAAAATTAGAATGTTAGAACTTCCTGCTTTTCTTATTCTAACAAGCAATTTAAGGCTTACTTTAAATGTCAAAAGGATATGGCAGTTTTTAGTTTATATTAACCAGCTTTTGCTAATATGAAACATCATGGAAATTCAGCAACTTCTCTGCATCTAGGTGTATTGACAGTTGCATTTGCAGAATCTTAAACCGGAGATTACCCAAGCAATTTACCATGAAGTGTCATGCTGGATTGGTGATGTGGCCGTGGTCACAAGCTCCTTCCTGCTCCTTACCAGTGCAGGAGATGTTGCTGCATCTTTTCTAGGCGCTGAAGTGGTCCCTGTGGAAGGAAYTGAAGACAATTAGCTACTAAAGGCTGGTGAGTTCTCGACATATTTCATGATTCCACATTACATAGAACACTATGACCAAAAGCTGGGCCATTCTTTGGTCTACAGCTTTTATAGTCATAGGCAAATAGTCATTATCAGCTGATACTGTTGTGCAAAACATGTTCGTCAGGATCATGTGGAATAATAYTTACATAAGCAACCATACATTATAGCCTTCACCTTTCCATCTGAGGTTTCATAGACATGCACTGTTGTTTCTTGTAACAGTCCAAAGGATCCAGTTCTATAGATGCAACCTTTGGGACTTTCTACAACATGTTGGTTTTTCCAAGTTTATTTTTAAATATCTCTATAACAATATATTGCTCTCAGTAAAGCAGAAATGTCTGTTTACCACTTCTTTTTTACAAAATATCTTTGGAATTAAAAAAAAAATACAAACAAGGCTGGATATCACCTAGTACAACACTCTAGTCAAAGCAAGGTCAACRAGATTGGGTTTTGCAGGAATTGTCAAATCCAGTTTCAAAAACCTGCAAGATTGTTGGAGATCTGTGCGATCTATTCCGAAGTTTGGCCATAGTGCAAAAATACTCCATATGACTAATCAGATTTTCCCAGTCTGSAACTTTTGGCTATTGCCTTTTGCCCTGTAACCTCCAAAAAGGTCTTGTTCCCTGTTCTATACCACTCTGTTCTCATGGAGCCCAAGGTGTCCTGGATTGCCTTAGGAAGAGCATTGCCCGCAGGTCAAGGGAGCCGATCCTGCCCCTCTGCTCAGCCCAGGGGAGGCCACAACTGGAGTTTCATGTCCAGCTCTGAGCTCCCCAACACAAGAGAGTCAAAAAGCTAATGGAGTGAGTCCAGCAAACGGCTACTATGATGGCAAAGAGACCATAGCATCTCTCTGGTAAGGAAAGGCTGGGACAGCTGAGGCTGGAGAAGACTGAGGGGAGATTGCAGCAATACATGTAAATATCTGAAGGGAGGGTGTAAAAGGACAGGACCCAAATCCAAAGGATTCTACTATGTGCAGACATCTCGGTGGAAATCTGCCCTSTTGAAATGCAGGGCTGCAATTCTGCTGTGCAAGTCTTTCCCACATCATGACTAAATATTTTTGAGCTCTCTGGACAGTGATGTTYGCTACCATGCAAGTTGAAATACAGCAATATATTAAAGTTGGAATTCAGTGGAACTCGGTTCAAATGTCAGTGTAATATTTCTACAGGTTTATGTATGTCCAAGAGACCAACATTACTCAAAACACCGCGTTGATTTAGCATATATAAAAATACATGCCTATAATCGAGTAAAACCATGTGGTTTTAATGCATGGTACAGGAAGGCTAACAAAAGAATGGGTTCTTAGAGCCCTGCTCTAATGTGCTGTGCTTCAGCATTGCATAGTGAGAGCTCTCACCTAAAAGCTAATTACCAGTGAAGGAATTCTTAGAAATACCACGGGAATGTGTGCTGATTGTGTGTGCCTAGCAGCCTGGTAGCGTGCCAATCCATGATGAGTGGGCAYGCATACAAAGACTGCAAGTCCCTTGCTTGGGCATTTGCCTTTATGACTGAATATGAAATATTCAGAAACCATTTCACGTGACCACGGAATGAGGCAGATGGATTTTAAGAAACTAATACTGAAGTAATAAAAATCTGGTGAGCAAGGGAGAATATATTCAATTCCTTGTATGAGAAAAGGCTGGCACATTGTCGACACGCTGAATTCAAAGCAAAGTAGATATATTTCTCTGAAAAAGAAAATATATGGACTCAGAAGTGGCCAATACWGCCTCAAGGGGACTGTTCAAAGGCCCAAGTTTGAAAAACATTACCCGGGCTACAAATGGAAAACAAGAAAAGGAACTAAGTAGGAATATAGTTAGGCTGCACAGAGATAAAACAGGAGTAGAAAGAAATCCTGAATTAGTGAATATAAAAAGAAAAACCTTTTAAAATACATATCAAAAAAAAAGACATGAAACTATAGAGAGGAAAAAAAAGAACAGCAAAGAGAAAGTAGGTCTATGAATAAATGAAGAAGATGAAATCAATAACGATCCTAAAATAGCCAAGCTCTTAATAATTTTAAAATACACTAAGAAAAAACAATAGGGAAAAGGTATATTGGCAACTAGGAGGTAATGAAGACCTTGTTGATGTATAATACCTGCTTATACGAAGCTGATGAAAAGAAATTATCAGGGAAAAAAAGAGATACAAATTCTTTAGTSTGAAGGATATATATTACAGGGCTAAAGGGAATTAGCTAATGAATTTATGAAGTGACTGGTAATTATTTATGAAAAGTCATAGAGAACTGGGGTGATACAAATGACAGCAAATTAATTAGATCTGCAGGTGTGGGAAGACAGTCTGAGACTGGAGAAGTTACAGATGATCTAGAGGAGCAAGAAACAAGGGAAAAGAATAGGCACATTCCCCCTGGAAAAAGGAAGCTCATGCAGGGTGCCAATCTAAACCCTGATATCCATGGAAAGTGAGAGCCTGGGGCAGCAAAGAGTAACTTGCCTGCAGGGCAAGGTACCCACAAAGCAAGTTACAGATGTCTTCTAAATGGTTAAGAATGTTAAGAACACTATTTTCAACTTGGTTAACCTGGTATGAGAATGATTTGAGTTACTTCAAAGACTCATTTTAGAATGACTCATTTAGAATAACTATATATTTCTGCTTGGCAAACAGACAACTAAAAATTGAAGACACAAGAAAATAAAGCAGCCTACACTTTTGAACATGTAAATACTGAGAAGAAAAAAAAATGTTGAGAGTGGTTGAAGCAGTAACGGGATGAAAGCGAGCAATGGAAAATACAGGTTGATAATCATGAAAGAAATCTTTATGAATCAGATAATACTAATACTCATAATACTTAACATTTATATAGTACTTCACATCTTCAAAGCACTTCAGTAATATTAACTAATTGCTCCATTCGATTGTAGGGAAGAGTCTTCCCTCAAGGGAAAAAGTTCCAGATCCTGAATCGCTAAGAAGCTATGTTAGAAAAAGCTACTAAAAACAAACACTGTAGAGAAAACTTAGCCCCTGGAAACAGTATGGATGCTAAGAGCTAAAAGAATTCTTCCTTCTCTATTTTTTTTCTTTTACATATGGAAAGGAAAGCTATGAATGTTAATACAATATAAACGCTTCTCAGGAAAAATACCTCCTTTGTTTCAATATAAAGATTATAGGTAGGAGGTACAGGGGCAGATTTCAAAAAAAAAAAAAGAAAAAAAAAAGCTTAGAAAAGCAAGTGCCCACTTAGGTGGAATGTAGCAGACAGGATCTAGTTTAGTTTCCCAGCCCAAAAGCAGAATTATCCAGGGTAGGGAGGAAGAGAAACATACATTTTTGTACTCTAGTGCTTTTTAACTAGACAAGTTGTTAGATTTTAGTACAAATTGACATAGCTGCTGGTGACACCAATAAAAACAATTTACTGCTGAAAAGATCCAAGACTTGAGGATTGCTTCGTCTGCTTAAAGTTTTGCTGGTGAAACTAAAAAGAAAAGTTTGGCTGCAAGACACAAATACCTACTACAGCACAGGAATGAAAATTAAGGAGCAAACAGAAATAGGAGACGATAACCATTACTGAAAGAAAATCTGATTGTCAGAGCATGGCTGGTCCTGTAAGCTTATAGCCTGAAAACAGAACAGAAGTGTGCCTTTCACTCAAGAGCTGAGGGGTCCAAGGTAGTGATGGTTTTTCCCCCATTACTAAAAACTTACAGGGAGGAGGAAAAGGGAGTTTCTTAGGAAATTACCCCTTCCAAATTGACTGTATTCTGTGTATAATAAGCAATAAGCCATCCGGCGAGCAGCAGAGCTCTCCATCATTCCAGCATGGCCATGGTTTATTGACTATTAACTTCATTTCATCAAGACGAAATCTAATAGTACAAAAGTAGTAAAAAAGGAGAACTGCAAAAACCTCAGACAGCCGCTTATGTTGCTGTGGAGGGACATTTATGAGTTGCAGGGTGGCCACACACACGCCTGGGGAGGCTGAACTGTATCACAACAGAGCCAAAGGCCAACATGAGAACTGACACTGCACTAACGTGTGCTGGGACATAGTCCCCATCCTAACACATTTACCATTTTAAATACACAAGACAGATCAAAKGCATGAGAAATATTTCTTTTTTTCAGTATAAGTATAAAACTGGACTGCTAACAATTTTCAGCTAATGTGTTTATATGGAGATGTATCCACAGTGGGGTCAGAAAGTACCTGGCTAAGCAACACCATCTTTCATGACACAGTTTAATGTCTCAAGATGTCATCATCTTGACTTTAYTCGCCTTCCCACACTGCATGGCTTAGCTAGATCTCAGTTTAACGCGCTGTAGTTGCAGGGATCTGTTTTTATTGACACAACAGCTACTGACCATGGTCTGAGATGGACTTTCAGGCTTGATGGCCCAGTCTTTGGGCAAAGAAAGGCAAATCTCACAATTTTATAGCATTCACAAAAAAAAATCAGTATTTGTATTCCTGGTTTTATTTTTGCAGTAAGCTACATTGCTTCCTAATAAAAGGATAAATTCTGAAGCAGCAAACCCAGTTCAGCAAGAGACCGTATGATCTGGCAGAAATAAGGAGAGGGACAAAAAATGTCCAGAGCTAACTAGAATTAAGAAGCTTGACATTGTGCCCTGGTGCTCCTCAAAGCCGCGAAAAAATGCTTTAAAAGTCTCTGTGTATACCTGTTAAAGGAGTCCAAACATATAACAGAGGGAAGCCAATTAAAAAGGTACTAAATACAGAAGACTTCAGCTCCAGTGATTAGTGCTAGGTAATTTGCCCTGTGATAAACAAGCCATTCAAATCAGTAATAGACCTGAGGTTGTTCCACAGCTTGAAAACATTTCTCTGAATTTTATCTGATATCACAGCAAGTGCCAATGCCTATAAGTTAAATTTTGCCATGCAGCTCTCTGTGCCTTCAAAGTTAGCAATCCCAATAAGTGCTTGTAAGAGAGCGCCACGTTSCTCAGCCGTCCTGCTGACCGCTGCAATCACTCTAGCAGCAGAGGTGCAGCTTGGTTGCTAGGTGCAACAGCCAGATGCAGCCTGTAACTTCTTCTAAAGTACTAAAATGAAATGAATGAACAAAGGAGAGGCTGCGTTCGATTTTTTTTTTTTTCTAAATCTGTGGAAAATAAATTACTTTTTGGGGGGACTATCCCTATCCAAGGAAGAAAACCCATCATCCAACAACTGTGAAAAATCTCAATTTCATCACTACGGTGTTGAGAAAGAGGAGGGAGAAGGAAGAGGAAAAGAGAGGAAAAAAAATGATAGTTAAAAAAAAAATATATATATATATATATAAAAGAAAACCATCAGTGAAAATTGCCCCTGAAACTTTGCAGAATTGTAACGGCTTTCTCTTGCTTAAATTGATTGGTGTAGCAATGTTATAAAATGACTATTAGGATTCATTGTGCACAACAGAAAGTGTGAAATGTCAGCAGACTATACAGCAAAAGTAATGGGTCCTGAACCCCTGTTAGTCAAAAATGATTTTGTTTCAAATTAGAAATTGATTTTTTTGGACACAAGCCCTTTACAGGCTTCCAACTTTTGTAGCTGTGCCTTGGAAGAGATTAACCTCAGCCACTGCTTGGGTCTGGGCTGATGATACCCTTTTGAAAGTTTCTTCACAGGGACTGCTTTTTAATGTTGGTACGGTCTTAACCAATAACACAAGTTATTTGTTCCTTTGAGAACTGCACCACATTTCTTCTCATTTTGCCATTTTCTTTATTTTTACGCTGACATATACAGCAAACTGGCTGACAGGTTAAAAATAAATAAATAAATAAAAAGGCAAGCCAGCTCATAATTGAACCTCGGATTATGTTCAAGGCTCGGCAGTGAAACATCCAAGCTGCTTTTGTTCCCAACCCTTTCTCTTCCTAAGAAAGGCTGTTTTCTCCGCTCCTTAAGTGGAGGTGCGGAGATAAAGGAAGGATAGATTCTAGCCACACAGATATCCCTGTGTGGCAAAATACCAGGTTGTAATGGTGGAGCCATTACTTGGGGAGGAAAAGAATGTGAAGAAGATTACATTTCAAGAACAAGCCCCACTGCACTTATTCTCTGCTTGCTGGGAAAGCAAAAAGAATCGTTGAAGTAGCTTTTTGAGATTAAAGGGCTATTTTTTGCCTTCCATCAGGAACACCAACCACGAAGATCACTTGTTATTTACACGGCTTTCCAGGCTATTACTTTAAACATAGCTGCCTTCTCTTGGGTTGTTTTAAGCAACTCGCAGTCCCTCTCCCTTTAATCATGCATTTTGCTTATCCACTCCTGAACACATATCCGTAGCTTCCAGATGGGAGCAGCAACTCACGGAGCTGCAACCCACTCAGCTTCACCTTACCTTTCCTCGACCTGCTGCCTTCCTTCCTGGCCTGCATCACAAGGGCTCGTCCATCTCCCGCGTTGGCACCGAACCCGACCGTTTTCCTCCCCGAGCTGCTCCCACCACTGCTCCCTGGTGCTCTGGAGACTTTGCTCACGGCAGGTGTCCTGGGGAAGTAATGGTCCCTTCTCSACACGGGCAAGCTGGGAAGAAAGAAAGGTCACATGCTATTATATAAGGTGCTTCACAGTTGCCTTTTCACCGCAGCTTTGCTAGGGGTTTGAAACCATACCTCAAATGGCATCCTGGATCATACACATGTATGTATATAGAGGGAGACTGAACCAGAACTTCTCTCCCTGATGATTAATTAGGCTTATCTGAAATTTTAATTATCCAATGATACATCTTGATGGCCACACTAATAAAATTTTAGTTCATAAGAGCTTAACTAAGGAGGACAGAAGGTATGATGACGCAGTTTTCTATCACTAACATTTAGAGGTGTTTTGCACAYAAGGGTCTCAGTTCTGCCTGACTCACTGCTGCCCTTGGCATGGACTGTAAAACACCTGCACTCTAAAGCAGCCCCACACAGGCAAGAGTTTCCAGAAACAATTCAGAATAGCAAGGATTGTAAGGACTACGAAACAGGAGACAGAGTGACACCTTGCAAAGATGTGTGGCCAARGACTGCTTTCCTCAGTCCCACTCTGTGGCAGTCTTGTTTCCACGTCATGGAACTCCAAACATGGCACAGCCAAGTTGGAGAAATAGTAATTAAAAAGAAATGTTCATGTTCACTTTGGTAGGAAAGAGGGGAAGCAGAGAAGAATATATGACAAGGAAACTAGGGTCATGCTTTGCAAAGGAGAAACAAATACACTGAGGAAAAGGAAGAAAAGAAACAGAAAACACACACAAGTGTGACAGAGAATGCACCAAAAAATTGGTAGGAGAGTATGTAGTGCATCAAGTGAGATAATTTGGATAGAGTAAAAAACAACAGACAGTTGACCAACATGTCCATGTCCAGTAAGAGAATATCATTATCCCGATCATTGCTATGCAGTAAGCATATATAGATACATACATATATAATGGGGATGATCCACATGGAAGGAATACAGTTCATCAAGTTACACTGCTCTACTTGCAAGCATGGCAATAACATACATCTTCAGTTAATGTAAGGGTACACAAGTCTTTTTGCTGTGCACCCATTTTGTATGGGCAAGGCAAAGAGCTCTAACATGTCTGCACTATTGAGGACATAGTTTTATGGAGGCTGATTAGCAAAATAAAGATGTAAATACYTTTTGTCTAAAAGATTATCTACTGAAGTTACTGTACAACTGAAAAAGGCAGGTATCTCATTTTCCTATAGAAAATGATAGCTGAATTAAAAGATTCAATCAATGTGCTGTATAAGTGACTGTTTTATAGGGCCCACTGCGCTTGTTTGACAATTAGTATTGCTCCCGTATTATTAATGCGGCACATTTATATAATGGCTCATGACCTGTAATAACTGGCTGAAGTGTTGGATGAAACTTCTCTGAATAACCCCCGTTTACTTTAGACCTTCAGACTGCATTGGCTGCCGCTAATACTGCAAGGTGCTATTAAAATTTATGGTGGACAAAATTAGTAACTTAGTTGAATTATAYGAAATTAAGCTGCTAATTCCTGAAACCCATAACGTAGTAAAATGTGGGTTTGAACCCTAACTACCAATTAAAGATGCTTAAAGTTATACCGGTTGACCAGGTGCCCATGATAATGCACAACTCAGTTATTTTCCTCATCTGTTTCTGGATGATTAGCAGCATGTAGAAGTTTTGAGGTAGTCATTATTTAGATGCTTTCTGAGTCTTTAAAGCAGATTTAATTACAACCTACAGATCTTGTGTGAAGACAGTGACCTTTGTCTTGTAGAGGTGGAGGAGGTGGCGGCATCTACTCCGCTGGCTCACTGTGATACCTCTTAGATGATGAGGCTGCCCTCAGGACACYGAGTTGTGGTTTAGCTAACACTGTGCCAGGGGGAACGCAAAGAGAAACAGACACGGAGCTAATTTATGGGGAAATAACACAAGTAAGTGTATGTGGCATTTATAGCTACTAAACTATGAATTAGAGCTCGGTTCTTTAGTATTTCATCAAGGAAAGCTCACTGTAAAGTTCTGCTCAMGTAAGGATGGAGAATCAAACGGGAAGATGACAAACAATCCGAGATTTGTACAAAACAGGGGRAAAAGGATAATGCAGAGATTTACAACAAAGAGAAAATAAGTAGCAATGTGCCAAAATTAAACAAAGAAAGCACGAGGAAGAAAAGCTATTTCAGAACAAACTTACTCATCTATGGAATAACTAGTAAAAGCAAAGACAAGACTATTGCAATCTGCGGAATTGAAAACTAACATATGGTCCAAACGGATCAGATGAAGAGACTAAAACATCAGACAGGTCCTTCTCTTTTTTTTTTTTTTTTCAAATGCAGCCATCTATCTCAATCATATCACTCAAACRTACCTTGGTTTGTAGGACCTCCTGCAGGACATTACGCTATCTGGTGAACTTTCATAATATTCCCTACAAGCCCACAGCAGAGAAGACAGGCTAAATAAAGACCTTGGAAATCTACCCAACCCACACACTAAGGCAGGAGTGGCAAGGTAGTAGCATCAGGAAAAAAACGGAAGCCTCAGCATCCCTGCCTCCGTATGAATATCAAAATACTTGAGGAACAAAGGAAACCACCTCCAACGTTTTGCCATTTTGCCTGCGCCTCATATCGCGATATCCCTGCTGAGCTGGAATGGCAGATTTGAAATGTCATTCAGGACCCACAGAACACTGCCAGTATTTGCATTCCTTAAAAAGTAGGAAAAAAACATTAACCTTTTGTTTTATTGAATTAAAATGCCATGGAAATGCTGGTGTAGTCTTCAGAGACTGAAATACTTTTACAAAGAAGAATAGCTGTCATTTATTAGACACAAAGAACAATTACTTGATAGGATGCTTTCTGACAAAAAGCAGATTGGTATTCTCATCATAGAAAAGGCATTGTAAAAAAACCCAGCACAGACCTCTGAGACTTGAATAATTTAAAGCTGCATTTGGTGCAATTTGAATTTTTCTTTAGGGAGGCAAAGTTAAATACCTTTAATTTGTTCTAATTATTTCAAATTTGCAAGTTAATTATGGCTGATCATTAAATAACAAAAAGGACTATCGTCTCCATAGAGTTTTACCTCCTACCCTCTGCATTACTTAAGCTAGATTTTAGTATGCATGAATTAACTTTCTAAATAATCACACGGTTTGACTAAATGGCTCAGTAAAATGAGCTCTGATCCTCAGAATAAGCATTAATGGACATTAGAAAGGCTATTGGGACCCATGTTACTTACATTATAAGTATTTTTAATGGGGTCTTATTTACTAATCTTTATGTACTGTTCAAGTTAGGGCACCATATAGATACATTATTCTGCCTTAATAGAAGAGAGTCAGTTCTTCAAGATACTAAAACAAACCTCCATTTAGAGCCAACTAAACTCATTTTTAAATTAATGCAGGAAAACTCTCACAGAATTTAACTTGCTTTATCTGCTTATCATGATGAATCAATCCAACATAATGGTAGCCTTGGTCGGCAAATGGAGTTTTACAGATCTATTGATGTGCTAAGCTACTCAAGCAGCTAAGACTCCTGCCACACAGCAGCATTTACTATCAACATGYGAACACCTAAAAGGATTAATCCCCTTTCTACTCCACACCTAGTGCTCCCAGGCATTGATTCTCAACTCGGATCCTCACCTTGCACTGAACTCTGATCTTTCCAGGCTTTTTTTCAGGGCAGATCAGTGGTATCCAGAGAACAGGACTACACTGCAGCTCGTCAGAAACCCCAAACGCGAGGCAATTCATGCCGCCAGTATGAATGTGCAACAGATGGCTGTCTTAATGGTGCCCTGTGCACCCTGTTGAGACAAGGGCTTGAGAGTTTTGCCATTCTCAAACTAACAGATTGGCTCGACAGGTTAAGCTCCAAAGCAAACACGCTGGAATGCTATTTTCCCGTTTTGCAATTTCTGTTTTAAAAATAAAATAATTAACAGTTCATGCGTGCAATCTGCTGCAATTATATCAGGCCAAGAATGCATAACACTTAATGATGCAAAACTGGTGATAAGTAGGCAACCTAAGCAATATGTTTTTGTAGCTTGCTCCTCCATTACCATTTCAGGTGTGGTTTGACAGGCTGGCTGAAAACTGTTTTGTTTCTCCTTGCTCTTTTTGGCTGGAGGAGTTTTACACCAGATCGGTTCCAGATCCAGCCCAGTGTAAAGCASCAGTATCACAAATGCTTCAACAAAGGAGGAGGTATCGATATATGATAGGATCTTCCCTTTTTGATAGGGATCCAAGTTTAGGTCAGTTCTACCAAACCACACCTTGGAGCACTATTAGTTCCAAAGTGGGACTTGTCATGAAGCCGAGTTATGTCCACAGCTCTGGTGAGGCAACTAAGGAAGTGTACAAAGACAGGAAAGAAGATCTGCAGACTTTGGATGTGTGGCTGGAGGAAGCAGCTTCACTGGTCTCCTGCTCGAACACTCCTCTCCTCAGGAGGCCGTGTCAGGTGTACACCCTGTGGGATGTAACTCTAATCCATGTAACACTACTGCCAAAATATCTAAATACCTCAGAATTCAAGACTTTTTTTTTTTTTAATTTATCTCTCCCTCTGAGAACTCATGACATAGGGAAATGTGATTATAGACATCCAAATTTAGGAACAGAAATAAAGGGAAGACAAGAAGCTGCTCCAGTAAAGAACCCRGGCCCTGGGACAGCAGGTGAAAAGACACAGAAAATAAGCTAAACAGCTTCCAACTGCTCAACTCACTGACAGAAGGAGACTCTTAAAAGTAGCGACTGCTCCATGTTGGATCTGCTTAAAGCTAACTTGAAGAAAAACCTGGAGGAATATAGTAGAAGACCATTCTTAGGGTATCTTCAGTGAAAGAGAAGTGGAGAAACTAATGAGGATGTAAAAGCCAAAGCATTAGCTAGGAGGGGAGGGAAACTGGTCCAATAACAAGTGCTTTTGTAGAGCTGTTATGGGGGTGCACCAGCCTCCTCTACTTGGCCATCCTGCCATAACAAAAGCAAACTCTTGCAG